TTTTTTTTTTTCTGAAGAAGGGTCCAGACCCGAAACGTCAGCTTTCCTGCTCCTCTGATGCTGCTTGGCCTGCTGTGTTCATCCAGCTCTACACCTTGTTATCTTAGATTCTCCAGCATCGGCAATTCCCACTACCTCTATACAAATGGAGATGCATTTGCAACAAGTATCTAAATTATCTGTAGACTAGTGACCAATTATCAATGTCAAGGGCCTTCTGCCTGCCAACAATTCTGTGATTTGTTCTCAGGTAGCTGAACAGCTTGGGACTGTGAACAAGATAGTGAGAAGGCATCAAATCTGTAACATCTCAGGAGCTCTCTGTGTTCTCTGCAGTAAAAGCCACTTCAAGCCTGAAGAAAACCAGTTTATCTTTCCTTCAGCAATTGCTGTAAGCTGTGACTTTTAATTAATAAGAGACTTATATAAGTATGACTAGCTACACTGTGCCTCTTGCAAACCAGCAAAGTCATCTAGGGAAGGAAGATTGAGAAGCAGTGTTCGGATTAGCACAAGAAGTATTTCAGCAAATCCTGTGAACAGAGACCACTAAATTTCTTTTCCAATTTTCCATCTATACAATACAACCATGTTTTTTGTGTGTGAGGGGGAAATTTATAAACGGGTTGGAGGGATCAGTACTGGGTCCACTTTTGTTTGTCATTTATATAAAAGGTTTGGATAAGAATATATGAGACGTGGGTAATAAGTTTGCAGATGACACCAAAATTGGTGCTATAGTGGACAAGAAGGTTATCTAAGACAAAGGGATCTTGATCACTTGGGTCAATGGGCTAAGGAGTAGCAGATGGAATTTAATTTCGATAAATGTGAGGCATTGCATTTTGGTAAAATAAACAAGGGCAGGACTTACACAGTTAATGGTATAGCCCTGGGTAGTGTTGTAGAACAGAGACACCCAGGGGTTTGGGTGCATAATTCTTTGAAATTTGCATCACAGGTAGACAGGGTGGTTAAGAAAGTGCTCAGCATGCTTGCCTTCATTGCTCACATCTTTGAATATTGGCGTTGTGACATCATGTTGAGGTTGTAATGGATGGTTGGTGAGGCCTTTTCCGGATTACTGTCTGTAGTTCTAGTTGCCCTGTTATAGGAAGGATATCATTCAAGCTGGAGAGGGTTCAGAAGAGATTTACCAGGATGTTCCGGGAATGGAATGTTTTCTTTATTCATTCATAGGATAAGGGTATCGCTGGCTAGGCCAGCATTTATCGCCCATCCCTAATTACCCAGAGGGCAGTTGAGAGTCAACCACATTGTTGGTGGGTCTGAAGTCACATGTAGGCCAGACCAGGTCAGGATGGTAGTTTCCTTGCCTAAAGGACATTAGTGAACCAGATGGGTTTTTCCAACAATCAACAATGGATTCATGGTCATCGTTAGATTCTTAACTCTAGGTATTAATTGAATTCAAATTCCACCATCTGCCGTGGCAGGATTCGAACCCAGGTCCCCAGAACATTATCTAGGTCTCTGGATTAACACTCCAACAATAATATCACTAGGTCATTGCCTCCCCTGAGTTATAAGAAGAGGCTGGATATGCTGGGACATTTTTCACTGGAGCGTAGAACGTTGACCATTGACCTTATCGAGGTTTATACTATCATGAGGGGCCTAGATAAGGAGAATAGCAAGGTTCTTTTCCCTAAGGTGGGGGAGTTCAAAACATGGGGCGTATTTTTTCAGTGAAAGGAGAAAATTTTAAAAAGGCCGTGAAGGACAGTTTTTACACAGAGAATGGTTCGTATGCAGAATGAACTACTAGAGGAAGTGGTGGATGCAGGTACGGTTACAACATTTTAAAAGACTTTTGGATAAGTACATGAATAAGAAAGGATTGGAGGCATATGGGCCAAAATACAGGCAAATGGGAATAGTTTAGCTTGGGAACGTGGTCAACGTGGACTAATTGGACCGAAGGGTCTGTTTCCATGCTGTATGACTCTGTAATTATTTACCTGTAGATAAAGTCTGTTTACTTGTAATAAATAGCAATTCTTGTTAAATGTGGAAACCTGGTCCATGCTGTCTGTCAACCTGAGTATGAAGGACTGATAAATTAGGAAGTTTTTCATATTTCTACGAAATTTTCAACTTGTGTGACAACTCGTGAATAGTGAGACTTGATCTCCAGCACACAACCAGAGTGAGACATGACAAAATTAATATGGTACTGTCACATTTTACTTGGGAATGTGTGCTGATACTTGAGCCTTAATACTCCTGGGGTTGTCACAAAAGTTAAAGTGTTAATCAAATTACTCAAAGTCCATAATTTTCCTGTCTGATGAATTCGGGTTAATAGAAAACGCTAAATAGGTTTCTGTCCTTAATGAGAAACTACTATTTATTACAAATAAATAAGTTCTGATCACAGGAAAATAAAATACAGATGATCAACCTTTAATTTTATGCTTTCTTAATGCAATATACACTAAACCCCCATACACTCATGCAGACAGACACAGATAAACAAAAAAAACCTTATGTGTAGAGGAAACAATATTAGGGAGACAATGTTCATTAACACCAGTCCACAGGATTCACTGAAGTGTCCTTTTGCTTCTTCTGAGCCTTTCTGCTCTCTAATTTGCTTCTTTCAAAGTCTTTTCAGTTCTTTCCAGTAGACACAAGGAATTTGGCACACTAATTTTCAGTCAGTCACTGGTTAGAGGCAGCAGCTTATCAGCAAATGTTGAGTGAAAATAGCTAGCTGTTTTCTAATCATTTGTTACTTCTCTTCACGGAGACAGAGATGCTGCCCTTTTAGAGTAGTGTATTACTTAGGCTGTCCACCTACCCAAGAACCAAAAAGAGAATTGTTGTCATGTTGAGCATTCCTGAACCACACAACATGTTCTGATTAAAAATAAAATCAACAGGCTATCTCAGCAAAACTGCCCTGAGCACATATCCACAGGTGCCAATGAGTTCAACAAACCCCTCTCACTGCTTGAACAAAGCAACAGTGTAAATACAACACACAATGAGTTCGAGTAATTTGTTTTTAAAACTACAACATCTCCTTCCAAACTCCTCTTAGTTCAAAACAATATCCTTTTTCCATTTTGGTCTGCAATCCAAAACTAAAGAAAAGTAAAAAGATATTGGCCTCCAGGTTCTGAATGACATGGACTATGGTGATATTTGTGGCAGAATCACAAGTGAAGTCTGGCAAGACCTATCTCAACATCAGCATCCTGCTCTATCTTTAATACTTTTGACAACCAACATGGCGAGTTTCTTGCTAGATACTGGTGAATTGTCAGTTAAGGGGGATTATTACCTGTTAAATGTCTGGTTAACAGCCAAATTTACCTTATTAATATTCAGATTTCCATCATCAATCACACTGAACCAACTAGATGCTGAGAATACTTGACATTTGAAGTCATAATGGGTACCTGGTGACTTCAGCTCACAGCTTGATCCAAAGAACATCCATCTTATTTAGGGCCAAACGGCATCTCAGAGAAAGATCCACAGGCACCAGCTACAGACACGCCTCATCTATGGACATTAGCATTTGGCATTTGCCAAACCTTCATGACCATCATGGTACAATCTGATACACTTGCAGGACACTCAGGCAGTGCAGACTTGCATTTCAGGGTGCAACCGACAATTAGCATTGAATGGCTGCAGCAGGGGCACTTTGCGCGCAGTGCAGTCACCAGCGCATGGATTGGACCAGGCTGCATCTCAGAGCTGCTCGTTTTTTCTCTTGATTCTCGCTCACTTGCCACCTACCTGCTTTCAGCATCCATGCCTTGTGATCAGGGAGCTGTAGACTCAGTGGTCAGGATCTGGTCAATCATCTCTAAGGGCTGTTTGTGAAAGTCCAGTAGAGGTCTGGGGCAAATACAGTCCTAGGGTAAGTCTGTCAATCATTCAGGAGGCAGCAAAGGTGGCCTAGATGGGCAATAGGGAGAATGGGTAGGGGAGCTTGGGGGTGTAGGGAAACAGAGATATTTCAAAGAGGATATGGGGGTATGTGGAACAGCATTGGAGGGCATGGTAAGCTATGGGGTAGTGTCAATGATCAACTTAGTATCCTTCATAGGAGGAGCATAGAGGAGATGGGTGGACATCATTAAAGTGTAGTGCTGGGGTTCAGGGGGCATTCAGGATAATTGCATACTAAGTTCAATGTGGTAGGTCCTTATTGGAGGGGGATGAGTGGAAATGAGCTGTTGAGATAGTATGAGGTAGGAGGGAACATGGAGACTCTTCAGGGAGTACTGGTGACTAGGCAGAGCTTGAAGCTGACAGCGTCCATTGTGAGCTGCATTCCCTGTTGTCACTTGTCATTGTCTAAATGTGAAGTGTTAATGAAAATGGCTGGAACAACATCCAGGAGGACAGAGCCAGTGTGAGTTCATTGGGTGAAAGTGCAGAATCTATGTTGCTGGATGACAGAACATTGAAAGAACAAACACATGAAGCAGCTGATTGCAAACCCCAGCTACATTTCATTTATATTAATTTCATCACTCATTTGCTATGCATGCAGGGCGAAAGTGCTTAGGGGTCAGATGATTTGAACCATGTCATTGCCACTTGCAAATTGAACCTTGGTACATCAGTGATGGTAAAATTAGCAGTAATGTCTTAAAGTGAGGTGAATACCAGCCAAAAGCAAATCATTGCTCATGCAATATCCAAGATCTCTGTGGGAAGTATATACCATCGCTTCATAAGCTATCATGCAAGATTATTGATGATCCTTACTGAATGCAATGGGAAGTTGAATGATTGATGAGGATCTGGGACAGGAAGGGGTTTTGAGTGCAGCAGACACTCTCTTCTTGATATAACGTACTGGTCACTCAGCCAGTGCAGCATCATTGCCAAATTGTTGCACATGCTAAGTGAATGATGGAGATATGCTGCCATTATTGGAGTCCAGCACCTCTCATTATGGAAGAATGTGTTCAGACTTCATCTACAGAGTACACCCCACCAGTGACTCTTCTGAGATTTAAGAACCTCTTTCACTCCTTGTGCTCCTTGTGATCATTTCCACTGAGAGTGCTGCGCCCTTCTGCTGGTGGGTTGTTGTTCCTGTGCCTGCCTTTATAAGAAGACAAAGGTGAATGCATGAAAACCAGGAGCATTAACAGGCGACTGCAGAAAATGAGGAGAATCCAGCTCGGGCATAGGTTGCAGCTGATAAGCTCCTTTGAATGTCTGTAGTTCGCAGGAGATCGAGAGGTTTTTTGGTCTCAACTCCAATTCATGGGGAAGGGTGGGGGGGTGCGGCAGCACTGACACAGGCTTCATATATCCTGGGACAATGTGACAAAAATGTATCAAGAGTGGAGGCCATGCTCTCCATGTGGCTGTGAAGTGCCAGCTAGTATGAGCTTCTATGTGACTGCGTCCTTTCACGGAGCGATGGGTGACCTGTATGGGATCTCTCAGTTGTGCAGTCACAAGCGCATTAGGACAGTGACCAATGCCATCTGTGCAAGATCATACTATTTCATTTTGTTCCCCCATGACGAGGTCAGTGCTGCAGCCTGGATAATAGGATTCAGGAATATAGCTGGCTTCTCCCAGGTGATGAGCGCCATAGACTATACATGCATGGCACTGAGAGTGCTGTATCACAGTGCTGCAAAATTCATCAGCAGGAAGGAGTTCTATTCGATTAATGTGCAGGTGATCTGTGGTCACCGTTACCACTTTCTGGAGGTGTGTGCCCACTACCCTGGCAGCTGTCATGAGTCCTACATCTTGGAACATTCTCATGTATCTGATGCACTTGAGGGACCAGGTGTCTTACCAAGCTGGTTACTGAGGGACAAAGATACCCACTGTGACCATGGCTCATGACATCATTGTGCAATCACCTGACTGATATGGAACACAGGTACAATGACACCCATGCTTTGACCAGGACTATGGTGGAATAAAGCTTAGGGCTGCTGGAAAAGAGTTTCCGCTGCTGAGATTGGTTTGGAAGCAGAGCCCTCCAGTAAAGTCCAGACAGAGCGTGTCACGTCATCTTGACATACTGTACTACACACAATTAAAGTAAGCAGTGAAGTGATGGTAAACGCTGATGAACTGGAGGAATGGAGTAGTCTTCTGAGAGGAGCACAAGGACTTTGGGAAGGAGAAAACTCTCCTTGTGCATGATAGAGCTCAGCCCCACTGGTTGCTAAAAAGAAAACAGGATCTTATTGACACCCAGTTGTAGTAGATGGGAGCTGGGTGCAGTAGACCATCATAGACTGTAAAATGGTTGTTGGTCATCATGCCAGCATTTGGTTTGCAGTGTGGTAGTGAACTTTATCCTAATTCATTTTGCTTGTGATCCCTTTTGTTGGAAGTAAATAAAAGCTCATGTTTGGAATTGTTTAATACGTTGGATTTATGTGATGTTCACCTACTGGACAATAACAAGCTGCAGGTATCCAGTGGGCATTGGGATTAGCGTAGCAGTGACTTAAAGAGGGTGTTTTGACAGTTTGTAGCTGTGGATCGACAAACTGTGTTGCCTAATGGTTAAACACTAATTTGAGAGAATGGTCTTGTACGCATGAGGGAGTTACAATCGTGCCAGCTATGTGCTGTCAGCTTCATGGCTGCTGTGCCATGACATTGTCAGTGAGGGGCAACACTGGACCGCCAATGCTTGTCCAGGCCCAAAGAATGTATGAGTGCCAGGGATGCTGGACTTCTGGCAGATTGTTCTGGGAACACTGCATGATAAGATGGGGCTGGAATTGTCTGTGCTGGACATGTTGGGACTAGGTAGATAGTTAATGTTTCGGGTTCAGTAAAATATAATGAGGAAACCTGCTGGACTTTGGAGTGAAAACCCCAAAAAAAACTCAACACAGCTCACACACCCCCAAAAGCAGGCATACTAATATAATAATTCAAACTAATTTCTTGCCACTGCTGTTCACCTTATTATTTTGCTTTTGGCTGTGTTGCAATTTGTTTTTGTCCATTTTTCTTTAAATCAAAATCTCTTCGGTATATGCAAATGTTAGAGTGTAACAAAATTATAGTGCTGAAACAGTAATATGACATAACTTTTTGTAAAATGGCTTATATAAATATCTGCCTCCTTTGGAATGTTTTCTCTAGCTAGTTGGTGTGTACTAATCAGCTGTCTACCCACTTCTGCCAAGCAGCCTAAAAATGTCACCACATAAGGAAGGACCCTGGCACGCAAAATGGGCATCCTGTTTTGGTGTGTATTTGGCAAGAGGACGAGGCAACATTGCAACCTTTTCACTACACTCATTTGAATGCATGTGACAATAAAGCTAATTCAATTCAATAAAACACATCAGAAATTGGAATATACCTCCTCTTTACTCCATAGATACCTTGTATAGTTCAAACCAAAAATTCACGAGTTATTTTGAAAAAGCACTGAAAACTTTCAGACCCATTTGTATTCCTGTTTTTCTACATTCTGCTTGTTACTCTGAGGTCCTGTTGTTTCAATATCAGTAGCTGAGAAATATCCCTTTATACCTTGCTGAGTTAACATAGAGCAATGGACTTGATTACTCCATAACTTCCTTTGTATTAATTTATTCTTTGAATAATAAGCTCTTTGTTAGTCAAATAATAGTTACCTATTTAACCCAGCTCTTTTTCTTAAATATGGCGGTCAATAAAGTGTGTGGTGTGGTATTATGTCCATCACAAACACACTGAAAAATTTAGACCATAGATGGGACCTTTCCCTCCCTGGAAGTGGCAGGGCAGGTGGCAAAAAAGGACAAATAATGAGGCAGGCTAGCACCAGAAAAATACCGGTCCCCTTTCTGCCAACTCAGCAATCAAGTTCTGGTTGGGAATGAACGTGGACAAACTTTTGGTCCACCACCAATTAAGGTCCTTAACTAGTCAGTCAACAACAAATTTAGGGGTTCAACCCATCATTGGCCTAATTATCTGCCTTGTTGGCAGGCAAGAAAAGTGGCTGCTTTCTGAACAGGGTGCCAAGTTGAAGGGGCTGGGGGAGTCTCTATTTACCGCAATTTAGGGGCAGCCTAAGCCTCTATGACTGTTCAGCTCCCAGTGCTGCCAGACTCTTATTGCTGACTGCTTCTGTTGGATTGGGACTTCCACTGGCAAGGTACTTATTGGGCCGAGAAGCTAGCTGATCAGCATTCAAGTACCTGATTGGATCAAGCATCAATGAGCTTTCTCAGATTGACAGCGGGATACTGTCACCACTAAAGATACCACCCTCGTACTTCGTGTAAAATACATTAATTTCTATCCCATATTTCCCAGTTTTCCAGCTTGGATAGAAAATCAGAGATAATTTGCATCTCAATTTCCTCCATACCTTTTCAAATAGGTAATGTAGCATGTGTGGACAGCATAAGTTCATAAAATTATCTCTACACTGTTTGAAAAACTTGTACAGCTGCTGTTAAAATGTTAATATGTCTCCAGGTAAGGTGTCATAGTCCTTTGTTGCGGGTTATGTTTAATTAATGAAATAGGTTACTTGCAAGCTGCATTTAATGCTCATTGTTTATAATTCACTTCTGAGTCTCCAAGGAGGAGGAGTAGTTTTTTGATATAGCAAACAGGGAGAAACTGTTTCCTCTGACAGGTGATGTAGTATAATGTGATGTTAATGGCATGATGATGATATATTACATGATGGAACACTGATATCAGCAGTTACATTATCAAGACTCAAAAAGGGAATGGCTTAACCTGTACTGGAGAGCTGTATTACACATTTCAGTATAATGTATAATGTGCAAATAAAAAAGTATGTTGGAACTCCTGAGAGTCAGCAATAGTCACACTTATGTAAGGACAATATGTAGATGCAGCACACAAAGAGTGGAGACAGTACTATTTAAGAAAGCAGTCTCATAGCTGAATAGGATAGAACCCTCTGAAGCCTAAACATCATGGCAGTCTAACACACAAAGACTGATCAACTTGGAATTGTATCTGTTAAGACAGCTGAAATTGAGTGAATTGGTATCAGAGGATATCAGAGACAATTCAAGGTAATTGGCAAAAGGAGCAGAAAATGAGAAGAAGTATTTTTATACAGTTATCATCATGATCTGGAACTGACTGCCTGATATGATAGTGGAAGTAGAATCAAATGCAAATTGGATGAATGTTTGAAGGAAAATGTAGGATTATGTGCAACACATTGGGATTATCTGGATCTCTTTCAATGAGCTGACACAAGTATGACGGGCCCAATGGCTTTCTTCGGTGGATTCAACAGGAGTTGTATCCTAAGCAGTTTAAATACTTAATCAAATGGAGCGTTATCATAATTATATATTTTTAAGATGCGCTCCATTATTGTACTATTATGTAGTATATACTTGTTTTGTATTTTGTTTTTCTAAGGTACAGAGGATATGATTGTAGAAATAACCTCTTCTATACTCAAGCTGCTGAAGTGGTCTACCATGTTGCTGCCGTTGGTGTTATTTATAATCGACAACAGCATTCACAGAGATTCTACCTTGGACATGATGATGATATCCTCTGTCTAGCTATTCATCCAGTAAAGGACTATGTGGCTACAGGGCAGGTACTTACAAATTATAAAATCTGAATCGTATTTAGCCATTAAACTCGTACCTATTTGGATAGAGATATGTACTGTGCCTAGGAGGCACAGTCTGTTAGAACTTTAAAGACCTTTTCCACAGGATGGTACTGTAGAAATTAAATTCTGAAATTTTCCACATAACTGGAGAGCAGAATAGACTGTAATTCAGAAGGTGAAGGAGATTTGTATTGCATTGTGTCGCACAGGAAGTGCAAGGGAGGTTAGATAAATGACTTGGCTGTAATCTTTGACAATTAATCATTTACAGTATGTTTATTGAAATACTTTTTTGTTCCAGTTCAACATGTAGTAGATTAGCATTTATATGTTAACAGTAACAATGTTTTTTGTTAGGTTGGACGAGATCCATCAATTCACATTTGGGATACTCAAACTCTTAAATGTTTGTCACTACTGAAAGGACAGCACCAAAGAGGAGTCTGTGCCCTTGACTTTTCATGTAAGTTACTTCTTCAGCATCTGTTCCAAAGTCTAATAATTCTTAGAAAATGATTTTCAATACCACAACAGATCCTTCAATTTTAGAGGAACTAACTGAATGCTTGCTAGATCTACTCACTACAGAAAGGTGTAATCCTGTGCCCATCTTCCTCATCAAAGGAAAATATAAACTTCCCCACAGTGCACTTATCCCATTTGGAATTTGCAATGTCTAACCTGTGTATGGAATTAAGGAACTAATGGCACAACATGGGACATAAACCAGCAATTGTGACTTACCTATACTTGTGCAAGAACAACAGTTGGATTAACAGTACCATAAATGACGGGACAGCTGTCCCCTGTTCCACTGAAATTCTCTAAAATGAAATATGTTTCTTACATTGTTCAAACCTGCATAGTTCCAAGCTATACCCCAGACTATGCCAAAAAGCATTGGACTGCTTTGCTCCATTATAACAGTATTTGCACTAAAAGAAGTAATCCATTAGTTGTAAAGGATGTCCTAAAATTTGAGAGGTGTTATAGAAATCTAATTCTTTAATTCATAGAATAATGCAGCACTGAAGGAAGCCATTTAGTCTATCGACCAGTGCCTGCTCTTTAAAGAGTAACCTAATCAGTCATACTACCATGATCATTCGCCAGTTCCCATTAAATTTCCTCCAAGCTGGTATCTAGTCCCTTGTGCAGGCTATTATTGATTGTGATTCCTATAGATTTCAAATCATAGCAACTTGTACATAAAAACATTTCTTCTCATTTACCACTTTTCACCAACCATCTTAAGTCTGAGCATTCCAGTTACAGCCCTTCAACCGTTGGAAGCAATTTCTCTTTACTTGTACTACCTCAACTTTTCATGATATCAAATTGTTCTATCAAATCCCTCTGGGCTGTAATGAGAACAACCCCAGCTTCTATAGTCCATAAGTACTACAGTAAGTGCCTTCTCTATCCTTTCTAAAGCCTTTACTCCTTGACTTTTATAGTGGATACCTCTATGTCAAAACCCAGGGCCCCCTTTTTTAAAACTGCCTTGTTAACCTGTTCTTACACCTTCAAATTTGGGCACATGTTTCTCCTACTCCTTTGATCCCATAAGTTCCATTGGGGAGCTTACAGGCATAGAGTGAATGTCACTGGACTAGTGGGAACATGGATTCAAATTTCACCAAGTTGATGGAATTTAAATTCAGTTATTAATAAATATGGAATTAAAAGCTAAAAATGGTGGCCATGAACCCATCGTTTATTGCTGTGAAAATAATCTGGTTTGCTAATGCCCATTAGGGAAGGAAATCTCTCATACCTTCCTGGTCTGGCCTATATGCAACTCCAGGCACATACCAATGTAGTTAACTCTTAACTGCCCGTAGAAATTATTTAGCAAACCACTTGTTTCAAAGTCAAAAAGGTATTAAAGTGGACGAACTATCCAGCATCCATCTAAACATCAGAAATGGCAATTGGACATCCAGTCTTGTTGACATTGAAAATTCCTCTTAACATTGAGAAATTTGTACCAAAATTGGAAGAGCTGTCACACTCATTGAATCATATCTTATAGACAATATCCCAGACATCACCATCCCAGGTACGTCCTCTCCCATTGGCAGGACAGTCCCAGTAGAAGTGGCAACAGAATGTACATTTGGGAGGGAATTGCCTGGTAGTCACTAATATTGATTCTGGACCCCATGAAGTGGTATTCGGTCAAACTTGGACAAGCAAATTTCCTTTGATTACCAAACCCCACCCCACCTGATGACACCTCAATGTTTTACACAAATTGTAAGAAGGACTGAGGATGACAAAATCAGAGAATATACTCTACTGACCAAGGTGACTAAGCCCTAAAGGACATAACTGCTAGTCAGGTTCTGTGGCAGGTGGTGAGTGAGTCATCAAGAGGCAAATCATATTTATCCTCAACCTCAGCAATCTACCTGTCGGCAAATGTATCATGACAGTATTGGTAGGAGTGACCGCCGTGTAGTTTTCGTGGAGAAAAAGTCCCATCTTCACATTGAGGACAATCTCCATTGTGTTGTGTGTCACTACCACTGTGCTAATTGGATGGATTTCAAACAGATCTGGCAATTCAAAATTGGGCATTCATGGGGCACTGTGGACCATCAGCAACAGCAGCAGGTTTATATTCCACCACAATCTGTGATTTCATGTTTTGGTATATCACCCACTCTACCATTAACATCAAACCAGGAGATCAACTCAATGAAGAATACAGAAGAGCATGCCAGGAGCAGCGTCAGGCAAACCTAAATGTGACATGTTAATCTGATGAAGCTACAATAGTGAATTGCTTGCATGCCAACAGGTGATACAAAATTTGATGGAGAGAGCTAAGGGATCCCATTACCAACTGATCAGTCCTAACTACTGCAGTCCTGCCACATGCAATTAGTAATGGTGAGCTTAAACAATCAGAGGAGGAAACCATACAAATAGACCCATCCTCAATGATGGGGAGCCCAGCATATTGTGCAAAATACAAGATTGAAGCATTAACAACCATCTTCAGTCAGAGTGGATGAACCATCTCCTGAAGTCCCCGCAGATTTCAGTCTTCAGTCAATTCACTTTACTCCCATGATACCAAGTCTGAGGACAGTAGTATTGAAGGCTTGTGTTCCAAGACTAGCCACACACCTGCCAAGCTGTTCCTATACAGCTGCAACATTTGCATTTACCTGACATTGTGGAAGATTGGCCAGGTAGGTCAAGCACAGAAAAGTCAGGACAATTCCTACCCAGCCAGTTACTGCCCTTTAAGTCTATTCTTGATCAGCAAAGTGATGGGAAGTGTTGCTATCAAACAGCAGTTATAGGGCACTAATCTGCTCATAAATAAAAACAGAAATGCTGGATAATTCAGCAGGTCCGGTGCCATCTATGGAGAGAGAAGCAGAGTTAATGATTCAAGTTCATTATGACTCTTCTTTGAAACTCAGTAATGTGCTCATTGGCATGTCTAGATTTTTGAAACCCTGGAGCCTTACCATCCTTGAGGAAATTCATTTGAATGGCTCAGCTTATGAATCTTTGTGTTCATTGCAATACAAACACTTACTATCTGGTCCTAATCCACAGTTTCTGCTTCCTTAAGTTTGTCTACCAATAAAAGCAAAATACCGTGGATGCTGGAAATCTGAAATAAAAACAGAAAGTGCTTGGAAACTCAACAGGTCTGGCAGCATCTGTAGAGAGAGAAACAGTTAACTTTTGAAGTCCAATATGACAGAAGAGTCAAATCCAAACATTAATCTTGTTACACTTTCCGCAGATGCTGCTAGATCTGTTAAGTTTCTCCAGCACTTTCTTTTTATTGGAAGTTTCTCTTTTAGGTTTGACAAGAAATGATAGCATAATAATGTACTCCATCCTATTTTCCAAAGTTATAAAAGTACAATGGCTTTATGCAAGATATATGTGAATATAAATTATAAGATGTCAAATAAAATAACTTTTGCTTAAATATTTATAATTCTGCAACTTCAATAAGATAACTGGTTTTCAGCTCACATTTTTTCAATGTTATTGTTTATGATTTAGCCACAGTTGGAGAATGGGGATTTGTATCATTAAATATCTGGATACTTCTAACACTTTTAAAGAATGTTGAATATCGAGTAGAATGCTATTTAGTGTGTTTTTATGGTTATTGCATTAGTATTTAGTGTTCAATGAAACAATAACAAATGCTATCTAAATTTTATATAAAAAAGAAAATTTAAACTGGTTTGCAGTTCTGATAAGCAAGCAATTCATTTAATTGTCATTTCCATTTGTTTTGCAGCTGATGGAAAAAGTTTGGTGTCTGTTGGTTTGGATGACCAGCACACTATAGTAGTGTGGGACTGGAAGAAAGGAGAAAGACAAGCAACGTCAAGGTTAGCACTTGATATGCTTCTTGTTTCCTTGAAAACAATTCACTGAAGTTCATGAAAACAATTCACTATATTTCTTGAATAGTTTAGGTGAATAATAGCTTATTACTGTTCATTTTATTTTAAAAAATCTATTTAAGTAAAGTGATTGCATCTGTTTTTTTCTTAGAGGACATAAAGACAAGATTTTTGTAGTGAAGTACAATCCGCACCATGTGGACAAGCTTGTTACTGTTGGGATTAAACATATAAAATTCTGGCAACATACAGGTAACCTTCCGTTTACCTAGTTTATTCTCCAACTTCATTTTTGCTGAATCTATTGGGAAAGGATTCATATTTACAGCTCAAGCTATTTCATAAAGAATGATTGTTATAAGCATACTTGTATTTAGGTTTATAATGAACTATTGAAATAAGCAAAGGAGCTTTGGGACAATGACCTACCTGATGGTAATTTTAATGCACTTTAACAATTTTTGAAATGCTTTAATTTTGATATGGATCTGTTTAAAAGCAGACTTTACACAGATCTAAGAGTTTTTATAATGCTGAAAGAATTCAGAAGAATAACTCTGTCAGTCATTGGATGTTTTATGGTGGAATATTTAAAATCACACTGAATGTAAGGACAGGATTTACCTTCGCAACTGGTGGTAAAGGGGCAAAAAGAAGGAAGGTTAAAATGTTAAAAATAAGAACACCCAATTTACTATAAGCAATGAAACTGGGTTTTGGGGATGTCCGAGTAACTCAGTCTAGATGCACAAGTTAGTGATTGTGGTATTTAAATGTGGCACTGTTCCTCAGATTCTTATGGACAACTAAATTTAACTGTAGTGGGTTCGGTTTTCTGAAATATGGGAAACCTCACAGTTGAAGGGATGCTGGAAATGCAGGATCCAGTAAGTGCTTTTCCAGCAGTTTGTGGGCCAATAGGCGTAGAAATGCTTTTCCTGCCCTCTACAAACCTTATTGCTGGAATTTCTCTGGCCCCATGATCCCATCACCCTGCAACTTCTCTTCCCACTACTGCAGTCCTCCCTGCATATATTTTCTGTGCCTTGCTTCATCAACATTGCTGTGCCAGATATCACCATCCCATACCAACATCCAATCTTCTCTGATTTCTGGTCTACTCCCCCAGTAGCTCCACTTTAGGCCTTTCCATTCAAAAGCTAACTAACCTCTCAATTTGACTGCTAAATTAGACTCAGGATGGATTTATCTCAAGGACAGACTTTTTACTTTCTGTCAGATTCTTTAGACTGTGCATGACCTAAGTACCTTATTTCCAAGAAGACATATGATTTCAGACAAGTGCCTGAAAGGACACCTATGATGTTAGCGGGAAGCATAATTATACTGTTGCATTCGCAAAATGAATATAGGCCTTTAGTTGATCTTTTGACTTCAGTTCCAAAGAATTAGGACTTCAGTTCAGAAGATAGAACAATTTTCTCCTAACAGTAGAACCAAGTTTAGTTCAGGGAAACCAGTCACTCTACCTGAAGTTTTGCTAATTCACAGAGCTTTCATACTGAGAGAGCTTGAACAGAAGTCTTCAACTTGTTAGAAATGGAAAAGCTCAGGCCCTCGGAATTGTGAAAGATTCATTCCAGTGGATTTGGAAAAGAGTTGCATACTTTCTCAGCAATCCAAGGAAAAGTAATTGGGAAAAGTCAGTTAAATGAAAATTTAATTAATTGAGATAGGAGTGATATTTCTCCAGAATTGAGACTCTGTAAAAGGATTGTTTCAGGAGCGATTTAAACTTTGGCTCTTTGTTTGTGTTAATATCTTTCCAGTGTGAGTATCTTTCTAACTATCTGAGGTATGTAGCTTTGTTTGTCTGTTTTCTTTTGTACAATAAATTTGGGTTCTATTGTTAAAGGACATTTGCAGCCTTATGTGAATATGTTTCAATCACTAAGCACTAACTGTAAAAAAAATAAACACATGTTTGATCCAGTTAGGTTTCATTTCAGGATATGATTTGTCTAGCATTACCACTAACTGGGATTATTGACAGAAGATAAAGTGTTGTCCAGCATTTACAGACCTCTTGGTCATGTTTCCTTCAGGATGAAGGTTTATTTGCCTCCGTAAAAGAGAATCATCTTGTTCTTTGTTGCCATAGTCTGCCACCATTATTATCCTGTTGATTACATGATGATGTATCGCATTAAGTGTTGTATAAGAATAACTGTACTCTGACTGGATACTTTAACTTACTGCAACTAATAAGAAAATATAGTATGTTTCAGAAGTTACAATGTTTCCACCAACCAGAAGGTGAAAGCATTTACTGTTGTGCATGGCTGTCTAAAGTGTGTTGAGGCACAAATATTGGAAATCATTCCCATGTTCCTGGAATGAACATTTTTTTTTGTAATTTACTAATTTACTAACAGTTTTGTAATCTGGTTGACAAATATTGTACTTAAGTCACTTTTTCTGGTTGTTTAACGAGAACATGTAAGTTTCAAGACATAAGTGTAAAATAGTTGTAACATTTTAAGTCAATCACTGATAGAAATATTTTTATTATGTTGCAACCACTAGATGAATCCACAGATGGTCAAATACAGTTCATTGAGTCCCCTTTTTAATTAGTATGTTTCAAGTTAAAGTAGACCAGCAGTTAAACTTTTTTTAAAACTGGTTAAAGGTTAACATTGCAAGAATTAGTGAATAATTTTATTAAGTGTAAAGTTAAAGATACTAAGATTAAATCAAATGCAGATAAGATAAAAACATACTTATAAAGAGGAAGTCCCAATAAATCTCTATGATATATTTCTGAATAACTCCCTGTAGTGTAGCACCAAGGTCCATTGTTTGAGTTCCTTCATGCTGAAATTAAGAGTTATTCCTTGACATCAGATCCAGCAGGTCTGAAAGATTCTGGAGTTGAATAGTTGGAAGTTTCTTGCTCAGATAGATACAGTAATTACAGAAGGCTTTGAGGTAGAGAAAGTTTCCTATGGCTTAGTAACGCTTTAGTTATTAGCACTTGCAGATTGCTGGGAACTGCTGTTTAATTCTGAAGCAATTTTCTTTTCTTTAGCTAAGAACTCTCTTTCCTGAAGAAGCTGCCTTTCAGTGATCTTTCTGGGGTGTTCTGTTTTCACAGTTTTACATCCAGATCAAACTTAATAGCTGCATGTTAGTGTTTAAGAATCATTGTCCCACAAAGCAAAGTCAATTATGCTTGAATTCTCTTGCCTGTCTCTGAAGTTTTGAATTTAAAGATTTTCAAAAACCCATTGTATTCTGTGAAGGGATAAATTCCAAATAATTTCCTTTGTGGTTACTGTTCAGATAACATATCAGTCAGTCTGCTTTTTGGCTGGTTGAAATGAATCAACAAGAATCAGCCATGTATTTTTTGGCAGCCATTTTTTACATGCTGTGTCTATTATTTAAAGTTGTATAGCCTTCTTTATAAAATGTGCGGTAATAATTCTAACATTTTATAGAAATGCCACTTGATTTTACAAACATAAATATTGTTTAAGAGAGATGCATTGCAGAAGCTTTTCACCTTGAACTTATGAACACAATTGCAAGAATGCCAAATTTAAAAAAAAACTCAATTTATACCACCGGAAAGAAAAGGGTGCTGATTATTTCAGCAAGATGAGCGGAATCTTAGAGGAGCCTGAATGACATGGGCTATGGCAAGAAGTCTGGGAAAATTGTGTGAAAAGCCCAAGATCTTTTTCCATGTCCAGAGCAACTGACCAGGATGGCAACCTTGAGCAAGATGGCAGGTTGCAGTGTCATGGCCTCATCTGTTGGGCCTGGGGCAAGAGGTCACCCTTTCTCTGCATGACCTGGCCATCAGGATCTCCAGGTGCCTGTGTGTAAAAAGGGACACAAAATTTCCCTTACTGCCATGATGAGACAAATGTCACAAATCATGCAAGCAGCTACAAACTGACACTGCTTGTTCATGTACATAAAAGTTTTTTTAAAAGTGGTAGCTGGTCCAATCTGGGGCATTCTGGCAGCAGCAAATTCTTCTGGCTCAGATGAGTGGGAGAATTGGGCTATCATCAGAAGTGAGGGGCACCATACAGTAGAAAATGTAATTAATAAGGCACGTTTGAGACAATTACAGGAGAAAAAACTTCCATGAAAGCCAACAAAATTGATAGCCAAAAATATGTAAGATTCAGTTCCACAACTCTTTGTTCAGCAATATTTGACTGTAGTATTGTTGTCTGTTTTGTAACATTCTAGGCTTGACTCAATCTTCGATAAACTTATAACCTCTCTCTGTGCCTCTATTGGCATCTTCCAAAAACCCATTTATGTATTTGGCACTGCCTCATTACATGCAGCATCCTTAATCGACCTTACTGCTTCCCCCACAACTTATCCATCCTAATACTGACTCTGTGGACTGTGTTAGCAGCTATAACCGTTCCTCTCTTTACCAATCTCGAGAATAACCACTTAATTTAAATGAAGCCATTTCACCAACTGCCTCAGTTCTTTGTCTGCCAATTACTAACCAGGCAAGACTCGCTTGAAGGCCCCGTTTCCTTTGCCAGAAACTCACTTTGCTTTCTACTTTCTCCTCTATCTCTCCTCATACCTCCTCTGGGCTCATCTTTTCCATGACTCTCATCTCCTGCACTCTTGACCTTATTTTGATAAAGTGCTCTCCACCCAACTTCCCTTCCTCGTTCCATGTTAGCTGATATTGTTATTGGTTTTCTCCCTTCAGGTACTGTCCTTCTCTCCTTTAAATCTGTTGTCATCGCTCCTCTTCTCAAAAAGCTAACCATTGGGCCAACTGTCATTGCAAACTAGTACTCCATCTCCAACATTTTTCTACTTCAAAGTTCATGAAGGTGTTTAATTCTCCCAAATTTGTGCCTGTTTTCCAAGAATTCATGCTGTATATCTTCTAGTCATGTTTTTCCTTCTGCCAAAGCAGCTCTCATTATAGTCAGAAATAACATTCTGTGCAATGTAACAAAGGCAAACTAATTCTGCACATCTTTCTCAAATGCTCTACAGCCTTCAAAATGCACTGCAATGTACTCCATCGTCCTGCCTATGGGGTATGTGGAACAATCCTTGTTCTAGTAATTGTTCCAGTCCTACACTGGCCTCCTCCCACAACTCTCTGTCGGTGCGTCAACAACGACTGTTTCAGTGCTGCTTCATGCACCCGTCTGGACCTTGAAAAATTTGTTCATTTTGCTTCCAATTTCCAACCCCTCTATAATTTTCATGTCGTCCATTTCCGACACTTCCCTTCCTTTTCTTGACCTCTCCGTTTCCACTTCACGGCATAAACTATCCACTGCCATCCAATGCAAAGCCACTGATTCCCGTAGCTATCTTCGTTACAGCTCTTCCCACCCACGTCCTGCAAGGATTTTATCCCATTTTCCCAGTTCCTTTGCTTAGGTCGTGTCTGTTCAGATGTTGCCACTTTCCAAATCAATGCTGCTGAAATGGCTTCTTTCTTCCATAACTGTGGTTTCCATGCCCACTGTGCTTGATAGGGCCTCAACCGCATCTGACCTATCACTCCTTCTGCCCCCTTCCCATAATTCTCAACAATGTGATCGGGCCCCTCTTGTACTCACTTTTTACCCCACCAGCCTCTGCATTCAAACAATCACTCCCCACCATTTCAGACCACTCCAGCAGAATGCCACCACCAAACACATCTTCGCCTCACTCCCCCATCTACATTTCGCAGGGATCGTTCCCTCAGGACACCCTAGTCCATTCCTCAACCGCCAATTACACTTACCTCTTTCCACGGCACCTTCTCATGTAACCGCAGAAGGTACAACACCTGCTGCTTCACCTCCTCCCTGCTTATCGTCCAAGAGCCTAAACAGTCTTTCCATGTGAAGCAGCATTTCACCTGTACCTCCTCCATTCTTGTGTATTGTATTTGCTGCGCTCAATGTGGCCTATTCTACATTGGAGAAATCATTCACAGACTGGGTGACTGCTTTGCAGAACACTTTCGATCTATGCACAAGCATGCCACCGACCTTCCTGTAGCAGTTATATTAACACAGCATCCTGTTGCATGCCCACTTGTCTGTCCTCAGCATGCTGCAATGCTGCAGCAAATCTCAGTACAGACTGGAGAAGCAACACCCATCTTCAAACTAGACAGTTTACAACCTTCTGGGTCAATAGTGAGTTCAAAAACTTCAAATTATGAACCTATTCCTTCCCTTTCTTTTAGCTTTGCTTGCTACATTCTCTGTCACCGTCTCTCCCCTCCCCCCCACCCCAGTGGGACTGTCTGTTCTTTCCAGTCTAGCAGTTAGACCAATCATTGTTCCGCCATTTTCACATTCCAATCACTTAATCTGAACAACTGACATTCTTTCTCCCACAGCACTCCTACCATCCAACCCACCCGCCCCAACAACTCCCCCCCCACCGACTATTGGATAAATTCACTTCAGCTCTGCGGAAGAGTCATGTAGACTCAAAACGTTAGCTTGCTTTCTCTCCATGGATGCTGCCTGACCCACTGTGATCTCCAGCAATTTTTGTTTTCAGTATCAATCTAGTGAACCTCCTTTGAACCATCTCCAGTGCATTTACATTCCTTCCTTAAATAAGAAGATCAAATCTGCACCATATTCTAGATGTGGACCATAAAAGCACAATTGAAGCAGAATAAGGCCATTTGGCACATCAAGTCTATTCAGCCATTTGATCACACCAATGTTCTGTTTAACTTCAGCATATTTTCCTTACTTTTATGTTCAGTTTCTCTCATAATAAAAGATAGCATCTGATGAGACTTCTTGATTATGTGCTGCATCTGCATGCTACTGTTTTGTGACTCCTTCCCTAGGACACCTAAATCCCTCTGCACCTGTGTCTTTGAATTTCACAGACATTTTTCATTTAAGTAATACTATGTTCTATAATTCTTTTTGCCAAAGTGAACTTAACATTTTCCCATATTATACTCCATTTGCCAGATTTTGTCCACAGAGTCAACCTATCTATACCTGCATTCTTGACAACATACCTTTCTATCAGTCTTGGCATTGTCTGCAAATCTAGCTACATGCCTTCACTCTCCTCACCTAGGTCATTGATGTAAATTGTGAAATGTTGAGGCTCCAGCATTGACCCCTGTGGCTTATCACATCCTGCCAATTAACTATCCATTTGTGCATACTCTGTATTTTCTGACAACCAAGCACTCTTCTATCCATGCTACTGCATTACCCCAATACCTTAGCTTTCGTTTTGTACAATATTTATCAGATGCTTTCTTGAAATCCAAATACAATACATCTTCAAGCTCCCCTTTATCCGCATTGCATCTTACTTGTTATGGACCAGATCAGACCGTTTCCCCCCCACCCCCCACGACTACCTCAGAATACGATAAGGAGATAGCCAAGACCCTAACTTTTATATTTATTTAAAGGCAAGTGTAAGGTGCTATATCCCAGATGTATTTCGATTGGTCCACCACAAGGCTTTAATCAAAACACACTTTATTCTCCCGACACAGTTAAAGTACAACAAAAAAGAAGAATTGTCATAACTTTAACTCTTTTAGAATACTTAACAAGATAATATATTACTAAACCACTAATCATCATCTGTTTCAATATAGGCAGCATCCCATAAACACACTCTTGGCAAGACAATTTGGCAGAACAGTTAAGGTTCTCACATGCTGCCTCTCTTCAGTCCAGCAGAATGAAATACTGAAAAAAACACTCTTTTAATTTCTAAGAGGAAGCTTCTTGTCTAAGACTGTAGCAGCAGAGAACTGATGGTGTTAGTTCAGCAGCAGTAGAAACTTTCTCACTAACTGAAAGCGAAACTAAAATCCTGAGACCTGACCCAGCCGACTTGTGCTTCTTTTGTCTAATTTTAAAAAAGCACTCAAATACTTCCAAGCTGTTTACCAACTGCCTTTCTAAAGCAGATGTCCTGGTACAACTATGGCAACACTTTTCTGCAAGAGAAATAGCACAAAACACATCTCTCTTAATGATACAGCACTGTCCCATATTCCTTCAAAGAATTCAATAAATTGGTTAGATTTGATTTCCCTTTGATGAAACTGCATCGCCCCTCTTCCCAATTACCTTGATTTTTCCAAGTGTGCTGGTATAATCTCTTTAATGGTTGTTTCGAACACATTCACCATGACAGTTGTCAAGCTAGCTGGCCTATAGTTTCTTGTTTTCTGCCTCAATCCTTGAACAATGGGGTTATATAATGCTACTTCCAGTATGATGGAACCTTTCCTGAACCAAAAGAATTTTGGAAAATTAACATCAAGGAATCCACTAAGCCAATAATTGATAATCCATAAATTATTCTAAAAATGTGGCATTTTAGATATAGGTTTGGGATGTTCAATGGTCACATGTTTTAATGCTCTAGGAGGTAGCCCACTTGGACCCCGGGACTTGACAGTCTGCAGATTCATCAATTTGCTTAGTACTGCTTCCTTCATGATCGTAATTTCACCAAGTTTCTTTCTGCCTTTTATATCCTGATACTTGAGGGTCAAGAGTTATGTGAGGCAGGGTAGGTCATAGGCCACAATCAGATCAACCATGATTTTATTGAATGACAGAACAAGCGCAAGCACCCAAATAAACTGTTCCCAATCTTATTTCTTATGATCTTATGTAGCTTACTATCTCCTCTCTCGATGCCTCCACTCTTGCTAATTTATCAGACAGCTTTTCCGACATCCAAAACTAGCAGATGATCAGACATTTCTCTAATTTGAGAAGACTGAAATCATTATGTTTGGTCCCCATTACAAACCCCATCACTAGCCACCAATGAAATTTACTGCTATGTTTATCGGCATAACAGTGACAAGTGTAATTAATGCTGGTGGTTTTCACTTCAAATGCATCTGTTAGCTATTCTGGTATGCCCGAATGAGCACTGGCCTTAAACCTAGTACAATAATGGATAATTCATAAATTATCCTAAAAATTTAGCATTTTAGATGTAGGGTTGAGATGTTCTTTAATCTATGCTGAATCCATTTGAAGTGTAAAAAAGTATACATTATTGTTCATTCTAGAAATGACATTATTTCAGTGAACTAGATATTTGTTGATAACCTTTCCTTTGAATCAGAATATTACATTAGTTATGCTTCTGGATATTTTAAGCAAGGAAAGGTTGATAGTAAAAAAAAATCCTTCTCACAAGTACACCTTACATATATCAATTTCATCCTCCAACCAAGTTAAATATTTAACTTCCCCAGCTAGGAAAATTGCAAACTTAAATAAGTGCATAAAAAATGTCAACTGGAACTAGTCCAACAGATTGTAATTGACTTAGAATTGATTTATTTTTAACACCTTGCTTTACCACAGTTGTTGATTAGAATATTACTAACAGTTATCTGATGTTTAAGGTGGTGGCCTTACCTCTAAGCGAGGGATATTTGGTAACATGGGGAAACTGGAGACAATGATGTGTGTTTCGTATGGCCAGATGGAAGACATGATGTTCTCGGGAGCTGCAAATGGAGATGTTTACATCTGGAAAAGAAATCTTCTACTCAAGACAATTAAAGCACATGATGGCCCTATTTTTGCTATGCATGCCTTAGATAAGGTACTTTGAATTTTGTGTCACAATTCGTAATACTCATTTTACAATATATGTTATTGTCTGGTCTACTATGCAGGACCATTTTCACTTTTGGTGGGATTGGAAAACTGACACTAATAGATAAGCCTCCATTGAAGTCCGTAGAAGAAAAGCTAGATAATGTAAATAATGGGGTCTATAATGCCAATTTTCTGCTGCTGCCAAAAGAGAAGATTGGTTCCTCTGTGTGCTATGTATAGTTTCAGTTAAAAGTTTGAATAAACAAACTGGCACCCTATTATTGAATAGGCTGAAATCTTTGATGCTTTTTGCAAATTAAAAAATTCATATCAGTAGATTTTACATTAAAAATGGAACAATTAGAACTAATTAATATCAAAATTCATTGTAAACCTAAATCTTTGGGTGGTGTTGGGTAAAGTGCCCTCTACATTTCATATGATGTTCACTTAGAAATACTCTTTAAATCCAGCTCAGCCCAAGTTGTGAAGTAATAAATGTTAGCCAATGTGAACAAACTGATTTAAACTTTTAAACTGGCAGTTAAATTTTATAGGGAAATGAATGTGAGTTGCAGCATTGGAACAATAAAGCTTTTAAAGTATTTATCAAAACAAGCACAGTCATAAAAACAGAAATGGTGTTTAGTTTTTTTAGTTGTAATACTTTTTGAAATATTTTAAGTATTTTTAAATAGTTAAAATATTCTAGTTCAGACAAGATGACATTTTGGACTGAGACTGAATTTTGTTTACAAACAGAATATTTTAACTATTTAAAAAGACTTAAAATATTTCAAATATTTCAATTTGATTTCAGCCTATACACAGTTTCTAATTCTGTTTTTGGTCCAGCTTTTCAGCAGAAGCACTGTTTTGAATTTTATAGATTTTATATTAACTCTTCAAGTTGATGAAGCAGAAAATAACACACAGTTACCACAACTGCTGCTATAAATTATACTTCTTATGATTCTGTGGCCATTCTTTTCTTTTTCACATGTCTACAAATGCTTTCTGGTCTCAGAAAGCCTTTCCAGTTTGAACAAACCAGGGTCAGAAACAGCTTTTAGAAAAAGACTGCAAACAGATGAACAAGGTGTGGGAAAATCATCAGCTTTATTTATATCCAGGACATCAGCACTGAGGCAATGAATGTTGGATCAAGATCTCATGTGTCAGTTTCACATACAGATTTTGACCATTGCCACTTTAATTTGAGGTTTCTTTGTCCACCATGCCCATCTGAATTTGGCAGGTGTTTATTTAACCTGTTTTCCATTTAGAGTCCTGCTCTTGTTTTAGGGTGCAAGTAGAATTTTACGTACTTTTAAAATCCTATTTACTAATCCTAAGTTACCATTGGAGTGAATTTTAAACAGTGCTGCTTCTAGTGACATTTAAAGAGATCATCAACAGCTAAATCATTGGTTGTTTTCTTTGGACTGCTGCTTTTCAACTTATTGAGAACTTCAGATATAGGGACTGAAGTGTTCATTTGTGAAAGTGATTTGGTGAGTAAGTAGACTTATGTTGGAGAGTTTCCAGCTTATCACTAGTTTCAATGCACTACCGTTGTGGCTGGAACTGGAGGTAGTAAACAGGCAAGTACACAAGGATTTACGGCCATAAAGGGAAGCAGTTTGTGAGAGGCCTAAACCCAGATGAGACTGGAGAACCACAACTTTTTACCTGCAGTTCACTGGAAACTCTGTAAGGATACTCCACTTTACCAGGGAGCTGTCATTTGCTACAGCATTAACTGCAGCCGAGCAAGAAGTCTTTTCTCCGTGCTGTAAAAGTCACTGTTGTCTTGAAATTTTTAAGGCTTATGGTCATTGCCAACTGCAGCAGGTGAAAACTGCACATAACCAATTAGCTATGCGGAATTGCATTTACTAGGTAAATGATGTGCCCTTTGCCAAATCCACTATCTTTGTTTTAATCCCCATTGATGCCATGGTGATAGCGTCGGCACAATCCCTGCACATTATTTTGAGTCTCAGTTTAGTCCACATTAAAGTGCAATAATATCACGGTTCAAGGGTTCCTGACATCTGAGGCTATCTGCAGTTAGGAGAAGGTTTCTTGGGTGAGTTGAGAAATTCTTGGCCATTACAACTTTTCTCATCTTTGGGATGACTGAAGAGGCTACTTAACTTTCACGAGTGTAATTTAACCGGATCCAACAGTGACAAAGATACTAGAGCAGAAATTTTAAGAGTAGAAATGTAGCTTTATTTAGAAACATGCACGGTTATTTACAATAATGTGTCAACTGTGCTACATATGTGCCGTCAGTAACTTTTTTTCCTCCTTTGCCTCCCACTCTTTATGTGCAACCCCAACTTCCACAGCAGGGGAAAGTGAAGACGTTCTATAGTTGGGCCGGTTGGCCTGGAACACTTAGTCAGTCATCCTCTTTTGGGGCCAAAAATGGTAGGAGTCCCCTACACAGATGCAGGCAGATATTCCTTTGTTTGAACTACTGCAGGCTTTGTAGTCACAAGCAAGGCAAGATAGAGAGGCCAGGCACCTCTGAAGTGTCTTAAGAAGAAGCTTTCAGGGATCCTGTGTTGAACTTCTCTTCCCTATGGATGCCTGCTGGCACCACCCTGTCTTCCTCAGAGCAAGAGGCACCTGGAGTGAGGTCAAGGAATCTCGCTTTCCCTCTCACCTCACCATTAACAGTGAGCACCTATGGCTACAGCTATGTAATACAGGTGATAAATGGTAGACTTTTACTGCACTGGACTTGATCCCCATGGCAGTTGCCGATCTATCCATGTAGATAGCCAGATGCATACTGGAGCCAGCACGGTACTGATAACATTAGTAGGACTTTCCGTTTTTCGATGGCGATTACCACTTGCCTCTAACGAACCTGCCTGCTGCTCCTGTTCCTACCTGGGCATTTTAATTAAGTATTTGGTGCCTGGGTCTCTGACAGTCCTCTGAATTCCAGAGATCCCGGCCATTTCTTCCTTGTACAGCTTCAGCAGTGTGTCCAGTGATGCTATCACAAGATAGGGGTCTAATCCAGGTGGAGTACCCACTGAGTTGAAAGTCTCCAAGCTGGCGGAGAGTATAGATGAAAACCTTGCCAATGCATCTTATGAGGTTCTGTGGCTTTCACCTCAGAAGTAGTGGAGAACTGAGGGTCTTCAGAGCTGCCCTGTTTTTGGCTGAGGTTTTTTAGGTGCTGCTAGTACCTGCATAAGAGTAGAAAAGAAAGTATTTGCCTGAAAGGGATAAAAGCTTGTGCAGGTTAAGTTTGAGATAGCACTGAAGCATACTAGGTTGGTTAAACATTAAGGCTCCCTATCCCCACATGACTGGTTATGCTCTTTTCCAGTTAGCTCAAGAATTTTCTTTTCATATTGAGTGAGGAGCCTGATGTCCTCCACCGTCCTGCTTGTCTTAGCCCCCTCAGTCTGGATGTGGGCTAGTTTTCCTGCAATGAGACAAGACAAGGGTTAACTAATGTGAAATTGGATAGAAGAACGATTATTGTTGATGTAGGAGCAGAAGAAGTGATGCATTATACTTAGTGATTGAGTAGGAAGCACAGGGCAAGAGAAATGTAGTGGTTTTTGAGAATGAGGTAGATGATACCCATTGAGTAGACATTATGCATACAGTAGAGTTATAATCCAGAAGCATTCATGGGAAGCCTGTATAGTGGCAAAATTAGAGTGGGTGGCCTGTGAATGAAAGCTATCAGAAAGAAGATGGTGGACTTACCCTTGCAGAGCGCTGAGGATCATTGAGCTTTTTCCTGCACTGCTGTACATTCTTTTGTACCTTCAATACAACATGAATCTGTGCTGTTGCCCTGGTTCAGGATAGCTTTGTCTCATGACGTGGTCATCAGGATAAAGTACTGCCCTCCTCTTCACCACCCTGTCCACAAGGAACTCCAGGCCAACTTCTGAGCTACATCCTCAGTTATAACTGTCAAGCAACACTGTGTAAGGACCAACTCCTAGCATTCAGTGTCTGAAGTGATGTGCAACTGAGCTTTAAATATGGTGTTATTGGTGTAAACATTGGAGTCTAGCCCTAGCAGTAGCAAGCACTTCCACCTCATCTGCATCATGACTCCACAAAAAGGGTACCATGGAGCCCAGATGCTAAATTTTTGAGGTGAGGAATGGAAGATTGCGTGAGAAGTCAATCTGAGCCATGGCAGATCAGGTTCCATGAATCACACTCAACTAAACACTTGAACTCAAAATGGGAAAATTCAACCCAATATATTTTTTTTCCCATGTGAGATGATCAACTGCAAGATGTTGCAGCTGTGCCCTACTTCAACCTGAAAGGAGTCTGACATGAAGAATTTACTGACTACAGTCATCTTAACAGCATCTTGCTCCGTCTTTGCTCTGTCCTGAGGCTGAAAGTCTGTCTGCAGTAGATAGTGGGTTTCAATTAATATCTTTTTACAGAAACCAGTCTCTAATAACTGTTCCTCATCTCAGGTTGAACTTAAAGAATTACTGTCTGCAGACCCTGGATGACTATGTCTTCCTGCTGAGAGCAGTTTCCACCCCACTTTCTCCGTCACCTCTGCTTGTATTTCCTGCCATTGTGCAGGCCAAGCATGTTGAAAATTACAGCACTTATTTCTGAAAGCATGTATCTGTGCAGAATTCCTCAATTTAGAACCTGGGTCTTCACTATATATCACTTAATGCCCTGTGAATTTCACAAACTTCAAATGAAAGTACAAATTTGCCGAACACATTTTCCAGATTCCACAGCAGCCAGTAGAAATCAGTCAGCAACTAATCTGAGAGTGCATAAACATCCTTTTAAATAGTGCTTGTGTGGTAGAATGGTCCTTCTGCTGTTGAGTCGAAGTTCAGTAACGCAACTTTAAGATAGAATTTTATGATAGTGTTGAGATTGAGTGCTGTCCCTAAAATAAATCAGTGCTATGTCCTGAGTGATGTGTCAACATATTTCTAGAGCATGTCTTACCAATGGCATGCCAACCTATCCAAATAGAGTCTGGCATGACCCATACCAGAAGTATGTGTTTTGATGCAGGTACCATTTTGGATGCAAAATAGCGCTGATAGCACTGAACTCTACAGAACTGAATTTTGAAGCATTACTTTATGCAAATTAGACAGTACTTAATCATTGTGTGTAGTTCCTTAAATAGTTACCTACTGCATTGATTTGATATAAATTGGCATGCTAATTGCTGGAAACCTCTTTGCTTATTTAATTTATTAGTAGCTATTTAATAAAAATAGGGGCAACGTTACAGATTGTTTCTAATGAATCATTTTAAATATTTCATACAAACTGTAGTGTACTTTATAATGCTTCTAATCATTATAATTTTTTTTTTAGGGATTTGTGACAGGTGGCAAAGATGGTATTGTTGAACTGTGGGATGATATATTTGAGAGATGTCTAAAGACATATGCAATCAAAAGACCAGCCCTATCACCTGGCTCAAAAGGTATACTTCAGCATTAGCTTAACAAAATTAACATTTCTGCAATATATTTTGATATATAAATTTTAAGATGTTAAGAAAAGGTTCTGAGACCTGGTAGAACCTGATTTTAGCCCAATTTTCACAATTGATTCCTAAAGACATTAAGGGCACATATTTTCTCTTCCCAAAGCAAAATTAATTTAACTTCATATACATTAATTATACAGTAAGAAACACAAGATTGGGAGCAGAACTAGGCCATAGGGCCCCTCAAACCAGATCCACCATTCAACAAGATCAGGGATGAATCTCAATTTTATTGAATAGCTGATCTTTGGTCTTATTGAATGGTAAAGCAGCATGACCTAGTACTACTCCAATTTCTTTTGTTCCTTACTTTAAGTATATTGTTTATGAAACTTAATCATTTTCTGTTAAAGGAAAGTTAAGTATGCCTTTGAAGTTCCTAAGTTTGGAGGGGCCAATCACAAGTACAAGTTGTAAGAGAAGTGAAAGAACCTGATTCTTCCTGACCAATGTTTCTTTAGTTAATATCTTAAAATTCCAATTGAGATAGTGTGTCTCTTATAACAGATTCCTTGCATGATGACAAGTTTTTATATAGGTTCTTCTCCTCACTCCCCAGACAATTCAGAAAGATCTTCATGTCTCTGGAATCTCTGGGTTGTTAATACTTGCTCGTTCTCCACTTCCCAGTGTCACCTGTGCATTGGCGATGCAACAGTTAATGAACTTGACTTGTCCATTGTTGTATGTTGGCCCAGATATTTTGGTCAGCAGTGAAGCAACAGCACTTGCCACTAACCTTAAATGAAAGCCATTCAGAAAGCTCTAGTGATCTCTGTGGCATGACTATTTTTTTCCCTTCTGACTACAGTTTAAATCTGCATCAGTTTTGTCAGTAAGGTGAGCAGCCAATAATTCAAAATATTCACCTACCATGAAAATAGGAAGCTAAGAGCACTGATATCCACATGTCACGGTGGCTCAGTGATTAGCATGGTTGCCTCACAGGGGCCTGGGTTCAAATCCAGCCTTGGGTGACTGTCTGTCTGTGTGAGGTTTGCATGTTCACCCTGTGTGCATGGATTTCTGCTGGGTGCTCTCATTTCCTCCCATAGTCCAAAGATGTGCAGCTTAGGTGGGTTGGCCATGATATATTTTTCCATAGTGTCTAGGGATGTGTAGGCTAGTCATGGTAAATGTGGGGTTACAGGGATACGATAGGGGGCTGGGATGCTGTTTGAAGCGTTGGTGCAGACATGATGGGTCAAATGTCTCTTTCCACAATATAGGCATTTTATGATTCTATCTTTCACTGCTAAGGTATATTTTCCAGATAGCAAAATGTGTTATTTATGATGGATTAGTATAGAAGCTAAAATAAAGATAAATAGATTTTAAAAAAAACATTTTTAAAAATAAGCCGTCTTTAAATATTGTAGCAAAATTTGCCAGTCTACAAATATTATTTTTTTCAGGGCATTAGCAGTAGCTTTCATCCAATTCAGCAAGCTATAACTTTCTCAAGAGTGTTTAAAATGATAGTAACATTATTGAAGTGGACATTTTCCTTGTTTATTTGTGGAAACCTTTGCATTACACCTTCTGGAAGTGAATGGACTCACTAATAGCAGTTTCCAGATTTTCTATATTATTCTGTGTGTATGCAGACTCTCAAAGTTGCTGTCTGTTTCATTGGCTTAATGATCTCAGACACTTTGTCATCATTACAATAGCAAAATCTGTTATTTATTGCCTATTTCATGTAATTTAGTGTTTATTTACTGGTGTACCTTAGCTCTTATAGCACATAATTAGGGAAATGCAGTAGTTTAAAATAAAGTAAACAAAATCTTCAGCATTCACAAAATGAGATAGAAGTGTAAGGAGGAGGTTAGAAGATTTTTTTTTAAATGAAGAGATATTAAGTTATATGAAGTACAATACCACAAATAACTGCTGAAACTATCAGTCAACATTTAGGAGGATATGAGTAAAAGATTTGAAGAAGGAAAATATAAAATAATATAGGAAATGAATGGGAATAGAGTAGATAGGTCTAAGGCACAGAGACAATGGGACAAGTAGACTACTCTTTGTGCTTTTTGCATTATTCTTTGGTGTCTTTGCAGGTTTGCTTCTGGAAGACAATCCTTCATTACGTGCCATTACATTGGGACATGGACATATACTTGTAGGAACAAAGAATGGCGAAATACTTGAAATTGATAAAAGTGGACCTATCACTTTGCTAGTTCAGGTATTTTTTTGATGTTAAAGAGCAAAGGATTTGAGTAGAGTAGGACTAGAGACCAGTATAGCTTCCACTCAATACTTCAGGCTTATACTCTATCAATTTGGCAATGTAGTCCAGCATTTATTTGTTTTATTACTTGTTGCTCTAAAATGATGTGTAAGTAACTTTCTGTTGGCATTAGTCAAATTTGAAAGGCTAACAAACTCTTGCTAATCTTTCCTGAGTAGAAAAGCGTTGAAAATGCTCAATATTTGTCAGATCAATTTATTCAACTAATTGTTAGGTGGAGCTTCAGACACATACAGGGAACACATTAGGGATAGGAGTGTAAAGTCATACCAGTGGTACTAGCAGAACCACAGGTCTGAAACATATGATGAAAGATTTGTGAAGTTATTGCAATAACTCTTCCCAATTAACCAATCTCTCAATTTACTATCCCAAACTATATTTACACTACAGATAATTTCTGACATAGTTTGTTTTATGTAAAACCAAAATAATTACTTATTATGAATGAAAAGTATTTTACAAAATTCGAGGATTGGCAAACTCTTAAAACAATTAGTTAACTACCTGGCCTATTAGCCCAAAATTACCTTTATCCTCCAAGCCGGCACTTAAATCTGACAGACAAAACAAGCTTCAAGCTGTATCCTCATGATTCCCTACCAAGTGGGCACTCACGGTGTGTCTCCTGGACCTCACTGCTCAAGCTCTAGCTGTCGAATCCATACACAAAGCTGTGGGGTTTTGATTTACAACACTGCCTCCTCAGTTTTACCACAGGATTGTAACTTTGCTTACCAGTCATTTTTGCACCTGCTGTAAGGTCATAAGGTTAAACTCCCTCTGAGCTTTGGTTGGCTTTCTGCAGTGTGGGGATGCCCCAACAGTAACCGGTCCCAATCTGTGCGGATTCCTGCTGTCTCCAAGATTGATTTCCCCAGTGAGGGAGACACTAGACTGAATTGTGAACCTTATACAGGATCCCAGTCTTTTCTGATGATAGATTTTATAGATTAACAATTGAAGTTAGTTATAGACGGAAGAGTTAGAAAGAACAGATAGGGTTAAAACAATAACCTGCCACAAAAGTATCAACAAAAGATTTATTGGCCATCGCACTACCTTATTATGAATGCAGTGTTTTAGAAATGAGTTTCTGTTCTTAGAAGAACCAGACTACAAGAATGTCTGAGGAACAGAATTCTATACTGCAGTGACTCTCTGAGAGAAGACTTTTCTACTCTTCACTGTCTTAAAAGAGAGATATCTACTTCTTAAACTATACCCCCTAGTTTAGTCTCCTCAACAAAAGGAAACATTCTTTTAGAAACCACCCAATGCAGCTCACAAAGAATCTTACATGTTTCTTAACAGTTACCTCTCCTTCTTCTGGACTTCAGTTGGCATAGGGATAATCTGTCCAAGCTTTCTTCATAAAACAAGCCGTTAATTCTAGGAATGAGTTGAATTAACCATTACTGAACTGCTTATAAAGCATTATTTTTTTTTAAATAAGGAGGCCGATACTGGACACAGTATTCCAGATATGGTCTCAATGTTCTGAATAGCTGCAGTAAAATTTCACTTCTCATATGTTCCGTTTCCCCTCCAATAAATGACAACATTCCATTCACTTTGTTAATAATTCCCTATGCTTTCCTAATCACTTGCTATACCTGCAGGCTAACTTTTTGTGATTCACTTATCAAGGCACCCAGATCCCTCTTTATCATTGAGTCCTTTTTAAACAATAAGGGAATCAAGGGTTATGGGAAATTGCAAAAAAACTGAGTTAAGGATTAACAGATTAGCCACAATCTCATTGAATGGTGGAACAGATTTGATTAGCTGAATGGCCTCCTTCTGCTCCTATATCTTATGGTCCTACATTTTCCCTCTATTTAAATAGTAGGCTGTTTTTCAATTCTTCTTTGACAAAATGGATGAGTTCACGTTTATCTATGTTATATTCCATCTGTTAAATTTTTGCCTACTCACCTAATCGATCTATATATCTTTACAGACCTTCTATATCCCATTGACAACTTATTTCATTCCTCTCTTGGTGTCATAAGCAAATTTTGTGACCAGACTGTCCCCTTGTCAAAATTCTTGATATACAATGGAAATGGCTGAGGACCCAACACTGATCCCTGTGACTTACAGCTTGCCAACCCAAACATGACTGATTTTTTCAGTATTCTCTTCCTATTTGTGAACCAATATTTTATCCATGCAAATATTGTACCTCTAACACCATCTGTTCTTATCTTGTGCCACAACCTTTAATATAGTACCTTGCCAAACACTTTTTGGAAATCTAAGTATTCTACATCTATTAATTTCCCTTTATCCACTATGAATGTTTCTTCATCACAAAACTTGAATAAATCAGTTAACATGATTTCTCATTCAGAAAGCAATATTAGTTATTCTCAAATAAAAACAGAAGTTGCTGGTGAAACTTAGCAGGTCTGGCAGCATCTGTGGGAAGAAAGCAGAGTTAACATTTCAAGCTCAGTGACTCTTCCTCAGAATTGTATGCAGCTAGAAAAACTGATATTTATGCTAAAGGCAATGTTGGGGAGGGGAGAAGGGTGTTGGGGTAAGGGGAGATGTGAGATTATTAGTCCACTGACATTACCACTACACCACTATCTATCTTCATTTTGGTTTAGAATATTAGTCACACAGTCATTCTTGTCCCTTTCAAACTGAACATGACATTCTATCATGTTGTGATCACTGTCACCTAGACATCTCTTTAGCATGAGATTATTGAGCTACCCTGTTCCATTGCGTGTGATCAGCTTTTAAGGTATCCTGCTGCCTGGTTCAGTCAAGCATGTGACTCACTCTAAGAAATTGTCTGAAAGGCATTCTGCAAACTTCTTGTCTAAGCCACCTTTGCCAAACTTGCAGGTGTTGATGTTCCATACATCTGCTGCCCTTGTCCTTCTTGATGGAAATGGCTGAGTTTGTAAGGGTCTGGCTATGGAGCATTGGTGAATCTCCACAGTCCATCTTGTAGATGGTACATCCTACTGGTGGTGGATATGGTGCTAATCAAGTGGGCTGCTTTGTCCTGGATAGTTTCAAGCTTTTCAAATGTTGTTGGAGCTGTATTCATCCTCGCAAGTTAAGCATATTCTATCACACTTCTGACTTGTGCCGTATTAATTGTGGACAGACTTTGGGGAGTCAGGAAATGAGTTACTCGCTACAGGATCCATAGCCTCTGACATGCTCTTGTAGCCACATATGGTCCCTGATCATTGGCAACCTCCGGCATGTTGATCGTGGGAGATTCAGTGATGATAATGGCATTGAATGTCAAGGGGTTGATGGTTAGATTCTCTCTTGGTGTAGATGGTCATTGCCTGGCATATGTGCAGTACAAATATTACTTGCCACTTTTCAGCCCAAGCCTGGATTTTGTCCAGGTCTTGCTGCATTTGGACATACAGTATCTGCACCTGTTTCAAGGAGTTGCAAATGGTGCTGAACATAGTGCTATCATCAGTGAACTCCCCCACTTCTGACCTTATGATGGAGAGAAGATCATTGATGAAGCAGCTGAAGATGGCTGTGCACAGGACACTATCACGAGGCACTCCTACAGAGATGTCCTGGAACTGAGATAACTGAACCTCCAACACCCCCAACCATCTTCATTACTGCCAGGTATGACTCCAGTCAGTGGAGATATCCACCCCCCCACCACCCGCTTCCCATTGATTCCGGTTTTGCTGATCTTCAGTCAATGTTCCAGCCCATTTTATCACACACTGGTAATCATTATCTGATCTGGTATATAGCTTTGCTGTTTCATTTCCCACACTTGATCCCTTGTCCTCACTATTTAGTTTAAAACCCTTCCTAGCACTCTGTTTATACACATGTCCCAGCATAGTTCAAATGTAACAATGGTACAGCTCCCATTTTCTCCAGTAGTGGTGTCTCAGCCCCAGCGATATTTCCTCCATTCCAATATTTGAGCAATGCATTCATGCCTCGAATCTTGCTTGTACTATGTCCATCTGCTCGTGGCTAAGGCAGTAATCCAGAGATGAAACTTTAAGATTCTGCTTTTTAATTTAACTCTTAGCTGATCATTCTCCCACAGGAGAACCTGTTTCCTAGATCATTCTTTGTCATTGGTACCTACATGGATCCTCTGCTTCCCACTGCAAATTTCTCTCCAGCCCAGAGCATATGTCCATTAAAAGATTACTTAACAGCAACAAAGCGCTGTTATCCTTGACTGTCACTTCTCTCTTCAAGTCATTTCTACCTTGAATTTGTGAAGGCACTGGCTCTACACAGTGCTTGAACTGATACTTCTGGACGGTAACATAGTTATAAAATTAGATTTGTAGAATAGCTGATGTGCCTCCCAGAAATCTGAATGAAAAAGACAAAAAGTTACACTTATGTAAGCATAGAAATGACAAAGCTATCATATGCATGAATTTCATCAATGACCTTTCCCTATCCTAGTATCTATGCTTTTCTGAAGGCCTCTAGTAATGCCAACTGCTTTTAGTACTTGAGATAACAAGATGTAGAGCTGGATGAACATAGCAGGCCAAGCAGCATCAGAGGAGCAGGAAAGCTGACGTTTCGGGTCTGGACCCTTCTTCAGAAAATCTGCTTTGGTACTTTCCAATTTGACAACAGCCAGTATTATTTTTTTCTCTTGTGATAGTTGGGTGTCACTAGCAAGGCCAGTACTTGTTGCCCATCCCTAATTATGGTTAAATTGACTGGCTTGCTATGCAATTTCAGACAGCTATTAAGTCAAACACTTTGCTGTGAGTCTGGAGTCACATGTAGGCCAGGCCAGGTAAGATGACAGACATCCTTCCCTAAAGGGCATTAGTGAATGAGCTGTGTTTTTATTACAAACAAAGATAATTGTCAGAATCACCAGATTCCATATTTATTGATCAAATTTTTATCCTACCAGCTGCCATGTGGGATTTGTACTGATGCCCTCGATGCATTAGCTTGGACCTCTAGATTGTTGGTCAAGTGACATTACTAGGAGTAGTGGCATAGCGATAATGTCACTGGACTAATCTCCTTGGCAGATAGAGAAATTCAAGTTCAATAAAACATGGAATTAATAAAGAAATAGATTAATGTGAAATAACTCTACAGAGGCCAGTATCCAAGCCACCCCTTATTTGCCCGTGGAGAATCCTTGACACTGATCCAGCTCCCTCAGAGCCAGCTCTCAGAGTGGACAGGATGTCTCACACTCTTGTTCATATCTGTCAGCCAGGGCTCCCTGGTTAGACCAGATTAATAGCCCCAACCAGGGAACTCATATTCTATGTCATCACCTGGCTGACTTTGTTACAATCACTACATCCTCCCCCTCTGATTCTGAGGACATAGGCCGGTTCTTTCATTTTGTAGCTCCTCTTGGAGTGTTTTAGCATCAGATCGGGTTCCTCCAGCTCTGCATCTGATAAGGGTGACAAGTTGCTTGCCTCTTTTGTCCAGAGTGTCTCGGGCGAAAATCATTCTCCTGTTCAGGCGGCAGAGGCGTTGGGGTGGTGACATCTACCATGTTCATCTCAGATTCCAACGTATTCCAACTCTTGATGGAGAGGGAGAACACATGAGCTCCGGAACTATCAGAAAGATTGTCGAGGAGTTGGGCATGTTTTGCTCCCTCACTATTTGCAAGTTTTCAGCTTTCATATGGTCCATGTGCTTGTCTCTTTGGGTCCAAAAAGGTTTCAATTCTGGTTGTGGTAGCCCTTTGCTTTCCCCAGTCACCAGTTGTTTCAGTTGTGCCAGGACCAGATCTTTCTGCATCCAAAATCTGATATTGTCAACTGTGACTGGAAGCGTGTCCAGAAAATTTAAAACCATTACCAACACCACCAGTGGTGTATCTGCCAGCTGGATGTGGCTCAGTGCATCCACGTTTGCTACTCGGCCTCTTGCTGGTGTTCCAACTTGTAATTATATGCACTCAATATTAGAGCCCACCGTTGAACTCAGCCTGAAGCTATAGGTGGCATTGCTTGTCCTCTTTAAGTAGACCTAGCAGGGGTTTGTGTTCCATTATTATTACAAATTTACATCTGTAACAGTATTGGTGGAACTTCCTGACTCCAAATATGATGGCCCAACCTTCCATCTCTATCTGGGCATATTTACGCTCTGCATTAGCCAAAGTCCTGGATACATATGCTCTTAGGTGCTCCCCTTCATTGGGACACCTATGAGCTAATACTACCCTGACACCATATGGAGAGGCATTGTATGTCAATACCAGATCTCGCTTGGGGTCATAGTTAGATGGTGAAAGATGTTTCTTTACTTCCCTTAAAGCTATGCTTGGCTATGTGACCATTTCCAAGGCTGGCCCTAGTTTAAGAGTTGATGCCAAGGTGCCAGGATGGAGGCCAGGTTATGTATGAACTTTCCATATTAATTCACCAGCCCAAGGGAAGACCTAAGCTCTGGTACAGACATGGGAACCGGGATATCTCTGATCGCCTTCACTTTATCTCCCAATGGGTCTATCCCAGTCTTGTCGACTCTAAGTTCTGAGGAAGTGTTGCTCGACCCGAAACGTTAACTCTGATTTCCCTCTACAGGTGCTGCTAGACCTGCTGAGCTTTTCCAGCAATTTCTGTTTAGGTCATTTGCCGTGCCTGGAACACACTTTTTTTACCTTCTAAGGCATACACCTGCCTGGGAGAAACATCTAAAGACAATGCTCAAGTTCTCTAAGTGCTCCTTATTGGTCTTCCCTGTTATTAGCATGTCATCTGGATAAAAGGCAACCTGGGTAGACCTTTAAAATGTTCTCCATCTTCCGCAGTAAAATTGCACAGACTGACATTGCCTCAAGTGGTGGTCCCATATATTGGTACAAACCTTTGTTGGTATTAATTGAAACATACTTCTGGGAATCTACCTCTAATCTCAATTTTAAGTATGCATGGCTCATATCCAGCTTTATGAAAGAGAGCCCCTTGTTAGCTTCACATATAAATCCTCAATGTGCGGCTTTGGGTATTTATCTAGTTGCAAAAAGTGGCTTACCATATGTTTAAAATCCCCACAAAGTCAAACCAACCTGTTGGGCTTCAAATTGGTATGACCGGTGCTGTCCATTCCACAAACTGCATTGTTTTGATGATTCCCACAATTGCCAGCCTTCTTATTTCTGCCTGTGTTTTTGCCTGTAAGGCAAATAGCACTGGGCAGGCCTTGCAGAATCATGGAGTTGTTTCCTGGTCAACATGTAAAGTGACCTTGGCTCTTTTGATAGTCCCTAGAGACCTTTCTGAAAATCTTCCAGGTATTTAATTAGCACTTCACTCAGACAGCCATTTTCTAATCAAAAAATGTTGAGCCAATCTAAGTGAATCTTTTTCAACCAATTTCGCCCCATCAAGCTTGGGCCCGAGCCTTTTATGGCAATCAGTGGTAACTGAACCAGCTGTTTCTCTTAACAGACCGTAATTAAAGTTGTACCCTTAATCGGTAAAGGTTCCCCAGTATAGGTTCTCAATCTAGCTGAGGCCTTACACAAACGTAAGGGTTGAAGTCAGAGCAAATTTTGCTAAAGACAGGTTCTGCAATCATTGAAATGATCTCCATTAGAACCGGGTGACCATTTAAGCAGACGTTTATTTTGATTGGTTTTGATCTGGATGTTGCTGATCAATTTAACTGTTCCAAACCCAACGTAGGTAGACTTTCCAGGGCATCCTGGATACTGGCCTATAAGTTCTCTTATTCAATTTAGGTCTAGTAGGACTTTGCTGTCTTGGGTCAACAAACCAGCAGCAACTACAATAGCTTGCCAACCCAGATCCTGAAGTAACTGTTTGGCTGAAGCTTGACTTTGTTTTGGAGCTGTTCTGTGGGCTCACCTAGGGTCTCTCTGTTCACAATATGTCCTAAGTGAAGCTATGCAATTGCCTTCACTCAAGTGGTATTCCTCAAGCTCAGTCGGACTGGCGAGGGTATCCACTTCCATTGGAATATTCTGAAACTTATATGCTCCACTTGCCTCATTTTCCAATGACAAAGCCAATTGTGGTGCCTGTTTGAAGTCCAATTGGGTTTCAGCTAATAGACACTTTTATATGGTTACATCATTAATCCCACATATCAAATGGTATCTCAGCATCTGATTAAGGGTTAAACTAAAGTCACATGGCTCCGCCAGTTATCTTAATCTCATCAAAAATCCTGATACGGATTCCCCAGGTTTTTGATTAGCTGAGTAAAACCGATAGCATCTCAGAATTAGAGGAGGCTTGGGGTTGAAATATTCCTTAGCTAAATCTGTCAACTCTTGAAAGGGTTCAGTATCTGGTGCCTCAGGGAAAGATAGGTTCCTAATAACCACAAAAGCTGCAGGTTCCACA